GGCGAAGCTTCCTGCAGCCGCTGCAGGCGCTGCGCACCAGACGCGGCCAGTTCCAACGCGGCCTCTGGGCTGCTCAGGGGCTCACCTGGCACCGCCCGGACAAGCGAAATACTTCTCCGGTTGGCGAAGGCCCGGTACAGGGGTGTTTGGGGAGAGGACTCAGGAGCCTAGCCAATAATTCACCCCGCCCGGCTCAGGGATTCAATTAGGATTTAGAGCATTGTCTTACCCCTCTATTTTTTTTTTTAACCATTACTTTAGTGAATAAATATTTAATAATTAGACGAATTGTTCCCTCAGGGTTAAGTGTTGCTAAGAGAGGTGCTGTTTTCAGAAGGGTTCACTGCTGCTGCTTTAGAAATTAAGATTGAAAGGAAGTGTAGATTATTAACTCTGCAGGTTGCAGACACAGCAAGTGTTCTGGAAACTACTTTTTGTTAGAGAGGTTTTTGAAATCGGAAAGATCATGTAACAATAATATTAGCGAACACCATTATGTGATGCACTTAATTACATACTAGGCGTCATGCCAAGGACTTTACATAGATTATATAATTAAATCTGTTCCCCAAGCTATTGCATAGGTCCTCTCATTTTTATTCCCATTTTAAAGATGGTGAAACGGAGGCTCACAGAGGTCAGTTTTCCCAAACCACAGCTAGTAAATGGCAGAGCTTAATTTGAATCCAGTGCTCTGGCTATACAGCCCTTAAAAATTACATAAAATAAATATTTTATTGATTCTTCAAAACCCTTTTATATGTTTCTTATAACGAGATCATTAAAGGGCATTTTAATTTTTTTAAAAAATGTTACCTAGACATTAACATCAATAATGGATTAGAACAGAATAATGGGTAAATGTAGGAATTAGGTATTTTAATAAGAGAGTAGGAAGTTTGCCTTCAGTAGTTGAGTGTGCCTTTGTTAAAAATGAATGAGCCAAACTTATAACCATAAGAGAATAAGAAACTAGGCAAAATTTGAAGTTCACTGTGTTAGTTTTCTATTGCAGCTGTAACAAATAACCATAAACGTAATGGCTTACCACAACACAAACTTAGTATCTTACAGCTTGGAGCCATAAATCTCACTGGGCTAAATATTGGATAAAATCCCTTCCCTTGCCTTTTCTGGCTTCCAGAAGCTGTCTGCTTCTTTGGCTCATAACCTCCTTCATTGTCAAAGTCAGTAACGGTGAGTTCAATCCTCCTCACTTCAAACCATTTTGACCTTCCCTTCTGCCTCTCTCTCCTACTTTCCTAAGCACCTTGTGAGTATATTGGGCCCACCTGGGTAATCAGGATAATCTCCCTCTTTTAGTCAGCTGACTAGCAATATTAATTCTGTCTTTGCCACATAACATAACATATTCACAAGTTCCAGGGATTAGGATGTGACATCTTCGGAGGGCCCTTGCTCAGTCTACCACATGTTACAGCGTAAGTTTGGGGAGAACGTGGAGCGGAAATGTGGACTAGGTAGGTCACTGTGCACCCTCCCAGGGCTTCCCTCTGAGTGGCTCTGGAGCTCCCAGATAGAAGACTACCTCCATGGTTAGGAAAATAAGTGTTTGACCAAAGGACCACAAGAAAAGTTTAAAATAATTGCTATATATATATATATAGTTTCAGAGGGAAGGGAGAGAGAGATAGAAACATAAATGGTGAGAGAGAATCATTGATGGCTGCCTCCTGCATGCCCCACTGGGGATCAAGCCTGAACCCTGGGCATGTGCCCTGACCAAGAATCTGGTTCATAGGTCAATGCTCAACCACTGAGCCATGGCAGCCAGGCTGCTTTTACTTTTAATCAAAATAGTACTGCAGACCATTTTAAGTGGAAGTGGAAAGTCTGAAAATAGAAGCAAATATGACAGCATTGGAAGGTAATAAAACCAGCCTTTAGGAGTAATTTTGCTCTGCCAGAGTTTCAAAACAGTTGAACATATATGATGCACGAAGGATCTACACTACTGAAATGTGTCATGTGGTCTAACAGAAAGGGAAAAGAGTTTGAGGAGGATTGGTTCTATTTCAGATTCTACTTCACTCAAGTTGAAGGTCTAGCAGTGTGGCATGCATAACTGTAAAGTTTGCCAGGATGATGTTAGGTGGTACACAAATGAACATTTTTGTTTATTTTATCAAATGAATATAAATTAAAATGTATATTTTTAAATGTATAGGATATAGTATAATATGTAATGCATATAATGCCATATATATATATA